CGGTCGGCATTAATCACACATCCACTTTGTCAGGAGGAGACAGTGCCGGTGCGTGGAGCCCGCACGTTCCGGCGGCCGCGGTCCCCGCACCGGCGGAGCCGGGAGCCCGCAGGGGCCACGCCGTCGTCCCCGCATCACCTGCCGCCTGGCAGGGACGGGACAGGCAGGGTGACAGACGAGGACGAACCTATAGATGGAGGTTTATCTCCGGCTCGTCGGGGCGGTCCCTTCCTCTGACAAACCGAGGGGGAAAGGAGAGAGGGTGCGGGCTGGTTTCTGGGCGGAAAGCCTCGCTCGTAGAGTTGGAACTGCAGCGTTGCCCTGGAAAGATTTCTTCATAAAACATGTTTTCCACCACGCACCCTCCCCATCATCTACCAACGCAGCTGTGGGTGTGCAGGCGCACTGGGTCGTGCAGCGAGTGCGAGGATTTGCACATCTCTCCCTCCTATAAGTGACCCTTCCTGTTAATAGGAGATTTCCCTTCTTCAGTTTCCCCTTCTTCTTGATGTGTCAGGCTCTACCTTTAAATATCAGCCGGGAAAAAAAAAAAAAAAAAAAAAAGGTGTTTTTTTATTTGGGGTGTTTGGGGGGGAGACGAATTTATTCATCCGAACTAGCCCCTGCCCTCTGCACTGCAAATAGCATATTATAATAATTGCAGGACTGTGTCTTCGGCACAAATCCGAGCCCAGAGCTCAGCCCACATCCTGGTCCCCGTTCCGGCTGCCCCGTGAATCGGGGGTTTGTGTGAGCCTCTGTGAGTGGTGCTACTTATTCCGGGCGGAACAAAAGTCTCCAGCAGCTCCCGAAGGCGTGACACCGGTGGGAGCAGTGAAAACGGTTCCTTGTGGGCTCTCTGGCCACTAGCATGAAGGGCAAACTGTCTGCGGGACCAAGTCGCCTTGGCCGGGAAAAGGGGGACATTGCAGAGGGGCGGGGAGGATGGGCAGGGGGCACGAAGGGAAGGATCGCGCCTGGGACCCCCGCGGAGCAGGGATCCCGCTGCTGCTGCTCCTTGTGGATACGCACACGCGTAACCTTCACAGGCAGATGCTCCGCGCCGCCGTGCTCGCTCCCGGGAACCCACGGGAGGGTTTATGTCACCCCCGTGAGCGGCCGGAGGGGCTGCCCATCACCACCCCGCGCTGGTGCTCGGCGGGGTGGGTGCATCTCCCTGCCCCGTTTCCCCAGATCAAGGATGCAGAAGCTCTTTAAGTCACTTTTATTACTATTTCTTTTTTTTTTGGGGGGGGGAGGGTGGCGGGGAGAGAGCAAGAGGTCCCACCACCCGATCCAGCTAGCGTAGAAACCAGCCGGTACACATATATCCATTTCTACCCGAGGTGTTGGGATGGGGAAAAATGTTTGTCTCATCTCATATTTTCCGAGCTAGCTCCTTTTTCAATATTCTGCCCCTCATGGTGTGAACCGTCTCACCCTGCTACACTGAACATAACATTCAATTGCTTCTCTTTTCATCGTTTTTCGAGGATCTCTCCTTCTTGCAGATTAAACGACCGGCTGCTGGGGGGAAAAAAAAAAAAATCACAAGACTGTGAAAGGAATAAAACTCTAAGTCCATAAAGATGAAATGTAACGAGTATGTTGAATACATAACGTTGCTATATAACAGTTTCAATTAGTTGAGTAAGTCCTCTGTAACGTCTTGTAAAGGTGTAAGGACACGTTTACAGTATAAGCAACATAATGTTCTCAACTGTACGAGTTAATTATTTCCAGATTTATTTTTTTTAGAAGTGAGTTTCACAAGTAAAGGCTCTGTCCGGGTATAAAACAACTGATGTATTTTTCCAGCATTAAACATCTTGAGTTCATAATTAGAAGCGGAGGAGAGAGCGGACAGTTAAATAATTAGACTCAGGGATTTTAGAAGGGGGGAAAAAAAAAAAAAAAAAAAAAAAAAAAAAAAAAAAGCTCTTGGTCTTTCGGGGAACAGCGATTATGGCGCCCGTGTCTCCTTCGCTCCGATTTATCTCCACTCGGTAACAAGAGCACAGAAGGCAATCACGCCGCCTGGCACAACCCAGACGTAGGAGGCGGTTGTGTGTAACCAGCGGCCGGGAGGGAGCAGAGCTTTTTCTCTCCTACAATTCACTAAATCCCCAGAAATTTTGCGGAGATGCCGATTTCTCACTCAACTTCTCCAAACTTGTGGAAACGAGCAGGACGAAGTCCCGGGGGTGTCGCAAGGTCCGTGCACGACCCCAGCTCTCTGCCCCCCCAGTGTTACCCTCTCCAGCCCCGGCGCCCCCCCCTCGTTCCTCCCGTGGGGAGCCTGGCACCTTCCGTCGCCCGTGGGGCTGGGGCAGACCCCAGGAGGAAGGTGTCGGTGCTCTTTTCGATTCCCTCCTGTGATCCCTCCGGAGATGTCCGTCCGTTGACTCTCTTGCTTTCTGCAAAGGTCGTGAGTACTTTGTTCCCGAGGATTTGAACTTGCCCCCACTCCCGAGCGGAGCCGAAATCTCACTCCTTCATCCGTGGGACTGTGCTACCTACCCGGACCCCTCTATTTCTAACCGTCCCCCCAAAACCAGCTGTCCGAGCCCACCTCCCTCCTTGCAGTTTCCCTTAAAATTTGTCATATTTAATCATATTTTAATTTTCTTCGGAGCGCGTGTAGACTCTCAGTGGGTCAAAGCAGAGATGAAAAGGAATAAAAAAGAAGGATGGGATTTCCCATGCTTAGGCCTTTCCAATAACTGAGTCCAGGACCTAAAACTCCATGCGAAAGGCTTGGCTTTAGCTCCCTGCGCTCCACAGCTTCCAAGACAAGCATTAGCCGAGGCTGAGCAGGGATCCATTGGTAAAAATCAACGCAAAATTTAGTTGTCACTAATTTTGATTGGCAATAAAACGGCCCACAAATCCCCCTCTCTCTACGTGTTAACCCAAAGTTGTCTGATTTAAAACCAGGTGCTAGCAGCGGAGCAAATAAAGACTTCCAGATTTCTCCTAAACATACTTACGTTATTTGCTAGGTTTTTTTTGTTCGTGAGGAACCAAGCTCACTTTCGGCTCGTAGGGGGTGCTCGCACTGCACCGGGACCAGAGAGAAAGTCTGCAGAGAATTTTTTTATTATTATTATTTCTGAAAGCAATCAACTACAACATAACTTTTCGCAGGAAGGGGAGTCCTCATGAGGAAACGTTCAGATGTTCAGAATCGGTATCCGAGCTCCCAAGGAAAGCTTGGAAATCTTAATTTTAAAAATTTAATATGAATATATATATGCACACATACATTTGTGCGCACACATATATATAAGAGAACTTGTCTAGATTCCTGTATGGACCATTATGCACACATACCCCCCAGGAGAGGCAGAGCGGTGCTTAACAGCGAGGAACGTTTTCCCAGTCCTGGGGGAAGTCTGTAGGTTGTAGGAACTTGGTAGAACTAGAATCCCGGGAGCCTTGATTTTTGCGCTTGGTTTTCTCTCCCTCTCTCTCTTTTTTTTTTTTTCAATAAGGTAACAAGAGCGACGGGTTTCTAATCTCTGTAGGTAAAACCGTATTTGCGCTTCTAAGGGTGAGAAGACCGGGAACATCTCTCTGACCTGAGACTGGGATCATATATTGTTCTAAAGCAGAAATGTCAAAGCAAAGTCATTTACCACCTGGATGTCCTTGACTCGGGATGATTAAAGTTTAATCCGAGGTGTGTGCACAGCTTTACCGTGTTATTTAAACACATCAAAGGTCATAAAAGGATTCCAATAGCATGAGTCGCACACCAAAGGGCTTTCTCTGAGGAGAACCCCGTATTTTATTCTAGCCTAAGCTCCAGAAAGCGCTTTAAAGAAAGAGAGTATAAAGAGGGGAAAAAAACCCGAAGTGGTAGGGGGGGAAAGGGATTTAATTTCTAACGGAGGGGGCAGACATCAGAGGGGTTGGGGATACACGCGGGGAAAGGGCAGAGCCTTCAATTATCATTAACTGTGCAGACATCTAGTGGGAAACCCTCGCCATTGCACCCCGACCTCCTCCGCCCCGCGGAAAGGCGCTTACCCCGGCTTCTCGGACGCGCAGCACCGCACCGCTCCCCTCCTCCTCTCCTCCGGCCGCCGCCGAGCCCGGCTACCGCCACCGCGCAACCGGCGGCGCCCCGCGGCGCGGCCCCCGCTCGCCCCCATTGGAGGCTCCCGGTGCCAGTCCGGTACGGCACGGCACGGCACAGCCCCGCCCGGGTCCTGCCCCGGCGAGACCAGCCCTTCCCCCCCCCTTCTCCTCCTCCTCCTCCTCCTCTCCCCGGCCGGCTTCAGCCCCACGACGGCCACCCCGCAACCCGCCGTGCTGCTCCGCCCGGTGCCTCGCTCCGTTTGCCACGGGCGGTGCTGAAAACCCAGGCAAGGATGTGTGTCCCCCCCTCCTCCC